TATTGTTCGGAATAGTGTTTAATATTACATATATATATTAACTGTGTGCATATATTGATTGACTGATTTTTGTTTAAAATGAACTGTCTGTGCAAGTATGTTAAAATTGTTTCTGTGGATGCACTTAATAATGAGTTTGGCCTGTTAGCAGCTGATCTGATGAGAAGCCAACAAAATAAACGATTATGGTGCCATTTTATTCTGCAAAAACTCTTGTTCATGCTTTATTCAAATTCATTAAGGGGAATAAATGTATGAAATTTGAATTCATTGTAGAGTCTTATAAAACCTATAATTTCACTAGTAGCACTAAAAGCATATTTGAAATACTGTCCAAATGATTTGTCCCTAAAATTATACGGCTTCATTTGCAGAAGTGACATGTTAGAAACAGGGATATTATATATTTGTTATTTTGTTCAATACAACTTCTTAGCCTCCGGTATCCTTCATGTTCAGTAGTCAAAATGACTACACTTACTGTAGTCTTCTATTTCGGGTTAGTTGACAGAATGCTGGTTTAGCGTGTCACGAAGAGGCATTTCCAACACTCTACACCAGACTTTCATCAACAGTTACCTTCACTCCATACAGAAGATCAGACAGCAGGTGAGAAAGGGCTAATAACTAAAAAAACTTGGACAGGAACATAAACGAACCAACACATCACTCAAAAAAGTATCAATAAAGAATTGGGGATGGAATGAACATAACCTGAGGAGACTATTGCGGGTAAAGTTTATTTTGATAAAGTCTCACAGTGCAGTTATGCAGTAATATTTACTGATGATCACAACTTCCTGACTTTTTTTATATAATTCGATTATTTATCATCGATTGATTTGATTGGTAGTAGTATTTTCCATATTTCCGGTATGAGTGATGGGTGTAGACTCGATGAACAAGGATTCAGTAATCAACCTCTCTCTCCACCTATTTAGATTACTTTTTAGAATTTTAACCGTCTCCCACCCACCCTATTGTGTGGTTGTGTGTTAATGCATGCATTGCAATTGCTGAGCTTTTTTCTAAATTACTCATATCCGTGAAGTCAATCATTCTAGACTAAGCTAAATTCTAATTTCTCGATAACCTGTCTACTCCCGATCTTCTCATTTGACCTATGTAGTTGACCTCACTCACAGTCATTACAAATTATTTTGTAAATTTTATTATTCTGTCTAATTGGACCCGCCGGGTTCTTTAACGTACAAAAGCTTATATTCCCTGAGTGAGTTTGTAAACTTAAATGCCAGCCTAATTCTCGCTTTGTTGAGAGTCCTGCGTAGCGTTTCATAAGGCCTCTCCTTATATGATAGAACTGTAGTTGCTTTATGTTGTTTCTTATTTGTGTTATCATTATTAGTTCCATAATTATTTTTATTTCGCCTTTGGCCTTTTCTGATCTTCCTAATGAATTTTATAGGATAGTGTTATGTACTCGTCGCCAAGTTATTGTTATGTACTGGTCGAGAATTTAATAGTCCTGACGCAAAAAGGCGGAAATCAGAAGACCACTAGGTTTGCGATGATACTTCTATTTCCAAACACAAGGAGAATGCAAAAGTGGTATCACACCAAAAAGTGTCACACAAGATAGGGTAAGCGAAATATATATGAATGTCCAGACAAAGTGTGTGAACAATCATTAGACAGTCTTAACATGATTGGCTAATTATAATGGAGTATCGATCCATATATACATAGCAAAATATAGCAGACATGTCAACAACCACACATATTATATGGATATATGTCACCAAGCAACGGACTGTCAACAAACACTCATATTATATATAAGGGGAATATACATTGTTAAAGGAGACAGGTTCATCAAAGTGAAATGGTCACAGACTAAGCGAGCAAACAGAAAGAGAGACCATCATACACACACACATATATATATGGATACATATCAGATAGTTAGCTATTTAACGCAAACCAGATATTCTTCTGTCTGTTTCATTTCATCATTTAGATCTTCTGATATACTTCTTAGTGTAATTGGTCGCTTTCTTCGACGCACTCCTAACTAAGCCTGCCTTTACAGACAATGACAGATGAGATGAATTATAGTCTAAATATCTACTGAAATGCGATGATTTTTTATAAACGCCAGTGTGCAGTTTACCTTCTTCTATTTATTTCGCAGTCTAACATAACTAATTCTCTCCTGAAGAGACCATTTAGTAATATCATATGTCAGGCTGTCGATTGAAACTCGAATGAGAAACAATGATTTATACTTGAAACGCGATGAGATGGAAGTGATCGTGTGAGAAGAATATGGAAGATTATGAGCAATCATGGGGCCAGTTTATAAGGACTTCAGACAACGCAGTGATAACAAATGCTTTGACTTTTATTGAATTGATGACACACTAAGGAAACCGTCGAGTGCTCTAGAACATCGCTAGATTTGAACCCGATTGGGAAGCAACGAGATGGGCCTCACTTCCAGGGTGAGAGATTATGGACAATCATGGACCCAGTTAAATAGGACAGCGGCAACAGTAAAGAATACACACCAAAACCGAATGATTTTGAATCTAACAATAAGACGGTTAGGCATTACACATGCATCATGTTCATAATCTTCGTTTAAATTTTCACTGAAATCTTATAATACCAATAATACAACGACTAATCCTTCTAGGCACTAACATTTATACACTCGAGTGGAAAGGTTATTCGTAGCCATCAACATTAAACCACTATTCATTATAAAGTCAATCTTACTTCTCAGTTAGTAGATCTTATAAGCGGAACTCATGCTAATTTTATTCAAGTGTTGGTTTGTAGGGATTTGATTGATTGGTTACAGGATTTCATCATGAGCTGACATTAGTTAGAGAACCATTGAAAAACCAGCTGGGAGTACTGGACGGCTGTTTCGTCCTACTTTTAGACTCTTCAGCAGTACGCACTCACTGGGATTCGAACCCGAAGACATTGGCTAGGGGTCGCGCTATGTTGTGAATTGACAGAAGTTAGAATTCATAGGCCATCGGATCGGGTCCCAGTGGCTTAATGGTATACGATGTCACCTTGTAACCAGAAGGTCCTAGGTCCAAACCGCCTGTGAAGGATGCGGTTGAAGATTCCCAAACTAGGACGAAACAGCTGTCCAGTACTCCTAGGTTTCCCAGTTGTTCTCTAACTAATGTTAGCTCAAGTTGAAATCCTGAAATCATACCAATTCTATTGAAGGATTCTGGGTTCATCTAAAAAAACCGTACAATAATAGTAAATGTTTCCCGATATGTTATCATATGATACAACATTCACCCACTTAGATCTTTTGTATTCACATTGGTTTGATATGTCTACAGGGACTCCTGTGGGAAACTGGGACCAGTTTATACAGCATTTTAGAGATACATACCCTGTATAATTCAGTTTTATTACAAATTTTCAATAGTTGGTTTGTAACGATTAGGTTTGTTTGAACGAGTTTTCATTAGATATGTCTTATAAATACACTTTTTGTATAACAGGTGTCACTTTTCATCTAGAAGAATGTAATTGGTAGATTCAAGGTCATTTGGCTTTAGTGTCTATTCCTTACTGTTGCCAGGACAGCTGTTATATACTCCTAGTTTTTTTTGATGTGGTTTTGTTCTGTGAGCTGGATGGTTAGTTTGCGAAGCTTTCATCACCTTACTGGGTGACATCTTCAGCGCATACTTCAATTTGAAGTGAGCTTTTAGATTTCTCCACGAGTTTGTTAATCATCTCTCCTGGTGACCTTGGACGTGATTGGTTGTTTGTGTGTGTTTTCACATCACCACATCAAAATCATCCACCTGAGCTACAAATCTTCTCTATAACTCCTAGTTTTGTTTTCATGAGTTGATTACGGATTGATATCCGTTAGCGAGTACCATTGAAAATCAGCCAGCGAGTACTAGGCAACTGTTTCATCCCACTAGTTTGAGAATCATCGGCAGTATGCACAGTGGGTTCGAACCCAGGACTTTCTAATTACAAGGCAAACTCGTATACCGTTTAGCCACTGAAACCCAATTCAGGGGCCAGTTCATGAATTCTAACTTCTACCAATTCGTGATTTTGCGTGACTCCAATACCCTAGTTTTGCCTAATTCTAACTAGGACCTTAGAATGATTATTTTAGGCAGTTATCGCAAAATGGCATGAACCCTTTGCTTTCTACTCTTATTTTTTTGTATTAGTGAATTCTTATTGGCTGTTAATATTTTTAATGCATCGCCGAATTACTGCATTTTCAAGGCCATGCTAACTGTCTAACATTGTGACTGTTGCTTGAGATAGTAAAAATTCTCTTATCGACGACCTCCAGTCTTATACTTTGACTTTGAGTGCAGGCGGTGTTATTGTTGCTGTTGTTAACGTGAGATTAGGACAGAATGGCCAGCTAATTAAGTTAGTTTCAGGATTTCATCATGAGCTGACATTAGTTAGAGAACCATTGGAAAACCTAGGAGTACTGGACAGCTTTTCGTCCTAGTTTGGGACTCTTCAGCAATACGCACCCACGAAACAGCTGTCCAGTACTCCCTGGCTGGTTTTCCAATGGTTCTCTAACTAATGTCAGCTCATGATGAAATCCTGTAACCAACCAAATCCCTACAAACCAACACTTAATTAACTTAGTGTTCGCTCACAGTCTAGTAGGTCATAGTTCCGGTCATAACAATAGCAGAAAATAGAACAAAACAGACACATGCTGTTGAAGCCCCATGTCCCACACGCAAAGCAAGAGAAGAATTATTATTATCAGTATTATTATTGTTGTTTCAATTTCCTAGAAAGATAAAACATTGCACAGTATAAGACAAAACAAATTTTGAATCGTTTAGAATAAAAATTGTATATATGAAAATATGTAAACTGGACTATGCGCGTACTCTTGTTGTATGCACGAAACACTAAATTAGTAGGGATGCAGGTTTATATAGGAAAAACAAAGAAGAATTGATCATTTAACCAGTCTCTAGTTATACAGACAGACTGACGAATTAAGCACCGACAAGCGCTAATAAGATTTTCCTGTAATCGCCCTTTGTTTTATCCTAGAATAAAGATATAGGCAAAATAAGATAAAATATATATACGCAATAATAATAATAATAATAATGGCGGTAACGGTACGGATAAGAATGATAATAGCTGGAGATAGAAAAGGTGCCATTGAATTAAGGTTCTCATTGATTTTTAGTTACTGACATCCGCGCCCGCAAGAAATGACGAAGAGGGGATAATTACTAATACAGAGTCGTCGGACAGTTGTCTCTTTCTCGTTTAGGATTATTCACAGGTGTACACCGACATCTATAAGGGAAATCAGTTTCACTGACGTCAACACACACATACGTTCACTAATAATAACACACTATCATTAAACTAGTAAGTTGGAATTCAGGAAAATTAAGAAAAAACGAGACAGTGACACTGAGGAAGACACACTCCCAAATCTTGCTAAGCCAGTAGTGATACTGACAAAGAAGGAAGGTTGGGAGTGAGGCTAGCAGTCCTACTCTAGGGAAACAATGCCACCATTATTAATGGAACTTCAGAAATTAAACTTGAAGCTCCATGTTTCACATTCAGAAAGTAAAAGAGTGAAAAAAAGTAAAGTTTATTCGACAGAGATGCGAATAAAGTATGGAGATTTTCATCATGATCTGAACCTGGGACCTTCCGGTTAAAAGGCGAGCTTGGAGACCATTAAGCCACTGGGATCCAGTCTGATGGCCCATGAATTCCAGATTCTACCAATTCACGAGACAGAGCAACCACCAGCCGATATCACCGGCGGATACTTGTACTCACACACGACCTGCTGTACCCTGATGAATGCTTACTGCTGGAGAGTTCCAAATTAGGACATCAGAAACAGGTGTCCAGTACTCCCTGACTGGTTTTCCAATGGTTCTCTAACCGATATCAGCTCATGATGAAATTCTGTAAGCAATTAAAATCCCTGCAAATTGACTCTTGAAATAGCAATGATTCATATTTCGTATGATTTAATTTTCATATTAGAACAAGACATATAAGCGAACAATATTGTTGTTTTCAATTAGATCTTCTTCAGGCTTTACTCTAATTTACATAGATTTATATATATAAAATTTTAACTAATGACGGTGATTTAGTGGATCAAATAATAATAGTAATCATAATAATGGTAGAAGTTAGAATTCACGAGCCATTGAATCGGGTCCCAGTGGCTGAATGGTATACGAGGTTGCCTTGTAACCGGAAGGTCCTGGGTTCGAAACCCAGTGGGTGCGTACTGCCGATGATTCCCAAACTAGGATGAAACAGCAGCTGTCCAGTACTCCCTGGTTTTCAATGGTTCTCTAACTGATATCAATCCGTGATCAACTCGTAAAACATAACTAATCCTTACAAACCAAAAACTATAGAAAGATAATAATAATAATAATCATAATAATAATAGTAATAATAATGTGGTAAATGTTTTGAACGAAGTTAATAGCGATGATTATAATAATAACAAAATATTGTTAATAAGGCTTATATAGGTGATAAGAATAACAAAGTTAGTATATGCATATATGTAGACAATTCAATAAATAAATAAATTAGGTCAAATCAAATGGAACGATAATCAGAGTTTAAATAACTAAAATCATAAAAGTACGAAGGAGAGGGATGATAAGAAAGGGTGGGAGGGTTTTGAATAGAATTCAACTAGGCCACGCAAGGGAGAGACAAAGGTAGAACAAACTTTCTTTTGTCGTATGCAAAGACTAGGCTTGTTCTCTCGAATTAATTCCCATAACTACGACTATGTGTAAAAGACGGGTTCTGATTCCGTTCGAAAGGCTTGATGGAATCCGGTAAATAAAATACATATACAAAACATCGAGGATAGTGATGATAAGCATTTAAAAGATGTGGAATCTGCCCCAGGGAGGCAGATGTGTCTTCACGACTGGCTGTAATAATAAGGAGATGTGGTTATGTCTGAGAAGTAGGCCATCATTTTGAAACCTATCGTGCCTACCAAGAGTTCAGAATGTGGTTGCTATTCCCAGTCCTTACCAAATAGATATGGTGTGCACTTTATTGTACAAGCCTCCACATGTTTATATGAATTGCATTCATTTCGGAATTTTCAGACGAGAGACTGAAACCTCAGAGTTTCTATGTACGTACAGACAGAATGATTTAATTTAATTTTAGATTTTCCCGTCAACTGATCGGACTGAAGTACTGGGTTGACTCAGGTTGACATCTCGGCTTCTTGCGCAGATGCTTCGACGATGTCTAGGCATGTAATTAGAGGTTAATTGGTAGATAGTGACTAGCAGTGGAATCCAGGATAACGCGCATTTCGTGAAACTATGGGCGCTGGGTTCAAGCCTCGGTGAGAACACCATAACTGACTCACTGGGGAATGCAGGTACATCCAGCTGGCTGACGAGTCCTAAAAAGGACGAAATGTGCGTTATCCTGAGTTCCACTACTGGTCACCATCCACCAATTTAATGTAATTTTAATTGTTTTTATGAATTTAAAAGAAAATTGTAACTTACATGAAAATATGCCTCCAGCGTTTTTCCAGTCATACTATGAAATTCTTTTTTCACCTCACCCATATCAAGTTCACTACGTGAAACCACAATACGAATTATTGTTTTATGATCAGGTGAACGTTTTGACAAAACTTTAACTAATTTCTCAGCAAAATACTTCGGTCTATTTCTTATCGATTGAACTGTAAAGATAAAAAGAGGAAAGTTTTAAAACAAAAATGCTCAGCATAAAAGGTTATGACATTGTTAATAACAAGTAGTGATGTCTCATTTTGTGTTAACTGAATGCGTTTGAATAACGTAATTACAAGGCGGCGGTTATCTACAAAACGTCATATATTCGCGCGACACATTTCCAATAATCGGATCACATATTTACAACGTAATGTGCATAAAAAGAAACAGGTTCAGCCATCACTATTGCTACCTGGGTTGCTGTGCGTCGGTGGCACAGTGGTTAGGATCCTCGCCTACCATGCACGTGGTTCGAGGTTCGATCCCCTGCCGACGTACACCCGATATCTATGGTCGGCCTGCGAATTTTGGGCTACCGATATCCATGCTGAAAATTCCATACTTGTACCAAAAATATGGTGTGGAATCAAGCTGTAAATAAAAAATATAAAAAAATAAAATAAAAAATACATATACACCGACACTGTATTACGTCGCACCATCTGGATATGACCATTCCTTAATGTATGCATAAATTCCCCTACCCTTTGTCATTGAATCTATATAAAGACACTTTTTATTTTCGTAGTTACATATCAAGGGTTGGTTGCAGGTTTGATTGATGGCTGTTTCGTCCTGGTTTGGGACACTTCAGCAACACACGCCCTTTGGAGTTTAAGCCCAGGAACTCTTGGTCACAGGGTAAATTCATAGACCATTCGCCACTGTAGCTCAATTCAGTGATCCATGAATTCCAACTTTTGCCAATATCACAGACAAGTAACTGTTCTCTTAGCTAAAATGATGACCCACCGCTCACTAGGACTGCAGGTAACGCCACTGTGAGGTAATCTGGAGTAGACAACTTTGTTTTCTACAGAGTAGATTGCAGTCTTTGAAATTAAGTGACTTTACCTTTATGCACCATTTAAAAATTTAAAGAAAATACCTTTTACATTTTATTGTCTTCATCGACAGCATAACTTTACAAAAATGCTGAATCCTATTCAGTGTGCCCTTGACCAATCCCACTCTTGTATTTCGATGTAGAGCAGCTGTAAAAACTCAAATAATTCCTATTTAAAGAAGGCTTTCTTTAAATTGACCGCCTTGTCGAAGGGACTAACTGTTTTCAACTTCAATCAGTATTCATTCCTATGATTCCTAAAACATTATGTATACACATATATGTGTATATAACTGATAGTTGTGTAATCAGGAGACATGAGAGTATTAGTGATGTAATATGTCCATTACTGTGGACTGTGAGACGACAATCAGCATAAATGGGAGTAACCTGAAAGAAACAAACTCCTTTACCTACCCACCGGGGAAGCATCGCTTCAACTACAGGCGGAACTGACGAGCGTATCATAGCAAGGATCGAGAAAGCAAGACAAGCTTTCATTACTCTCAATTCCGTGTTGAGGAGATCAACAGCACTCAGCATGAAAATGAAAATAAGTTCCGGATTTTCAACTCCAATGTAAACTCAGTCAGTGCTAGTATACGGATCAGAGACTGGGCGAGTCATAAAGAGCACCTTTAACAAACTACAGACCTTCATCAACAGCTGTTTTCGCTCACGACTTTGCTCAATATCAATTGGCCGGTCAGAAAAGATCAGCGACAGATATCTCTGGGAGCGTTTCAACCAGTAACCGATTGTGAAACAAATAGGCAGGAAGAAATGGAGTTAGATGAATTGGTCATATTCTGAGGAAACCATCAAATGACATCACTAGACAAGCCATTACTCGGGTGGAACCCGAAAGGGAAGCCGCAAGTTGGTCTTGAGTGCCAAGGTGACATGGAAGAGGTCATGTGAAGAGGAGATGAAAGCATGTGCGCAGACGTGAAGCCAGGTGAAAACGTTGGCAGGGAACCGAACGCAGTGGAGACGTGCAGCTGAAGCCCTATGTTCCTCTAGGAATTAAAGGAAATAATAATAATAATAAAGTGGACTGTGAAACACAGTCAATAATAAAAGTTTATCCACTACCCGATAGACTTTTTTTATTCGTAAGAATGCCACAACTACGTAAATTCCACCTCGTTAACCCTTTTGTGTTTGCTGACTAACTATTTTTCTCTTTAACTGCTAAATGACTCAATTTTTTCATGTTAAGTAACTTTTTAACAAATCCAAGACATTATTAATAAAGTATGATGAGTCTGTTGCAATTATCTTTTCAAGAACCAGACGTAAAAGTCAGACAAAGATATTAGAAAATTCCATTATGGGTAAATTTTGTTTTGATAAAGTCTCACAGTGTTATACAGTAATGTTTACTGATGACGTTTCGAGCACAATTTATTGCTCATAATCATGATATGATTATGAGCAATAAATTGTGCTCGAAACGTCATCAGTAAACATTACTGTATAACACTGTGAGACTTTATCAAAACAAAATTTACCCATAATGGAATTACACTCTACCACAGTGCACAAGTTTTATTCTTATATTAATATTAGAAAATTCATTTTCAAAACAAACAGTCTGTATACTCTATGGATGCCATTTCATCCAATAAAATTTGATATCTCATTCTGAGGTTGAATTCTATCTCTTCTAAGATGAACGTTGACACAAAGTGAAGTCAGCTCCAGAACCACTAAAAGTACGTAATGATGAATGTCTATATTGTCTTAATTTAGAAAACAGAACTATCACGGATAGTACTCTACACCCCCCCCACAATTTCTTCGCATTCCGAGTGGAACAAAAGGGCTTCAGGCTTGAGTTCAGAAGTTTCCGAAGCAGTGGTGTTCGTTTTCATGGGATGGAATAGCTAGCCTCACAACCAACCTTCTCAGTGTTTTTGGCCCTAGTTTCAGTTAGCGAATTAGATTAGGTCTAGGAGAGCACTGGTCAGGAGTCGAGTCTTGCGTCACCCGCTTGGTTTAATAATTATCTGTCATTAAGTCTTTGATACACCTCATAGTTTTCACTGAGTCCCAGCGGATTCTGAGTCAAGCATGTCATCAGTTGGCTGTTACTTTTGAAGTTATTGTTTTATGAGTTCTGGATAATATCAACTCACAATATAGCGCCAGCCCCATCTAAAGCTATCCGGTATAATATCTGCCTTCTCAGCCAGTCTAGTGGATACGACCTGAAGACAAGTGATTCATATCTATTGTGTGTTTGGTTCTGTGTTTGATTTCTTGTTGAAGTGCTAAAAATGGGACCATAGATTTTTACAGTGTTCGTTGTTTTCCAAGGATTCTCTAGATTATGTAAAGACTACTGAGAAAATTCACACTGAAATCGATCGAATCACTTGAACTGACTTGTTCTTGTCACCTGGTTAACCCTATAAATTTAGGCGTATTTGAATACGGTGGCACATTTATACTTCAAACAAATGTTAAGCACAATCACTAGTTCATTTATCTATTCCATAAATGGTATAGTTCCATGATGTTGTTTTACGTTATTATATACCTATCAGCAGTATTCTGATTTTTAATTTTATTTACATTTTAATTAAATTAGATGCAATATTGTGTCTGTCTGTTTTCGACATAGAACTTTCCACAAATGTGCGGAAGTTCAAGTCGCCACACTCCGTGTAGCACGCTAAGCAAGAGAAGAAAGTACAAGAAAAGCATAATAGAGACAGTAAGCAGAGGTGTGAAACAAAGGAGTAATAACGAAGAACAAAACAGTTTCATTGGCGATCATAAGTCACAAGGAGTGGATGCATCTGCGCCAGCCAGTGAGAACGATTTTGAGCCATGTCACCAATTGTTTCCAACCATAGATTTTTGCCGTCCCGAGGATCCCAGCCTGCAAGTCTACACCTTCCTACGTGGATTAGACTAACTGTTGTGGATTTCATTGACTGGTGAGGCCATGTTTTAGTTTGACCGCCGCTAGCTTTTTTCCAGCCTGACCCTACATCCGCTAACATTGCTCGTCGAGGGAGGCGATGGCTTGGCATACGTAACACATGTCCTAACCATCTCAGTCTTTGTAGCTTCACGACTTCGTCGATTGATTTCCCCTGTTTACCTAGAACTCGACGCCTAACTTAAATGTTCCTCACCTTATTATGCCACTTTACACCGGAAATAGAGCGCAGGGATCTATGATCAAAGACAGCTAGTCTTTTCATGTCTTCCACTCTCAGTGACCAGGTCTCACAGCCAGTGAAGGAGGACGGAGCGGACTGATGAGCAGTACACCCGCCCTTTGGTCGATAGTCGAACATCTCGTCTACGCCAGAGTCGGCGTAAACTAACAAATGCGAAACGAGCCCCTTGTATTCGTGCTGAGATTTCGTCAGAGATCAGCCCGTTGGGGCTGATGGTACTTCCCAAATAAGTGAAGCGGTCAACGTGCTCTACCACTTCACTTCCTATTTTTAAACTAGGCGTTGATGTAGTCCAGTCCTGTAACATCATTTTGCATTTGGCGGGAGCGAATCGCATGCCAAACATTCGTAGATTTCGGCTCAAGGTGTTTAGAGGACTCTGCATTTTGTCAGAGTCGTCGCCTAGGAGGACTATATCGTCTGCATATTCTAAGTCAACGAGATTATTCCCTGGTAGCAAGTCAATCCCTGAGTCACTGAAGTCACTTAGGGTTAAGTCACATTATTGTGACAAATGCTGAGAATTCCATTCTGTATTATAAGTACTGTTTTTGGAATGAAGTAAATAATAATTATTATTGATACAATGTCTGTTATTCCAAAGAAAGATAACAAAAGAGGCCTTAGAACTCAGTAAGGGAACAGTTGTGTGTTTATCATGAAATCTAACAACAACAGTTCTTATTTGATTCAGTTTTCTGGTTTTACACAGATGAAAATATCCAGAAAGATAAGAAACAGGTGTTAAGGAATTGCTAATCTTCTAGAAATCCTTGGTTTATGTTGATTTGTAATGTAACATTCTCCTGGATGATAATCATGACCCAGAGAATACTTTGTCGAAACAATGAATGTTTGCTTGAATAAGCAGTTTTAATTGGGGTGGTGATTTATTATTATTACTTCCTTTAGTTCCTAGAGGAATATAGGGATTCAGTCGCGAGTCTCCATTGCGTTCGGTTCTCCACTGACGTTTTTCACCTGGTTCTACGTCTCTCCACATGATTTTATCTCCACTCAAAATGATCTCCTCCTCTATGTCACCCTCTCACTAATGACCAACTCGCCGCTTCCCATTCAGCCGGGTTCCACTCGAGCGATGGCCTGTCGTGTGATGTCACTCATTTGATGGTTTGTTTTCTCAGAGTATGGCCAGTCTACCTCCATTTCTTCCTGCATATTCGTTGCACAATCAGTTCCTGCTTGTTGGTTCGCTACCAGAAATCCCTCCCTATTGCTGGTGTTTTCTGGCCGGCCATCTGATCCTCAGCAGTACTGAGCAAAGATAGCTGTTGATGAAGGTCTATAGATTGTTTTAGGTGCTGTTTTTCACGCGCCAAGTCTCTGATCCATAAAGTAACACTGATTCCACATAGATGGTGACTAGCAGTGGAATCCAGGACAACTAGCGTTTCGTTCTACTTGAGACTAGTTGTCAGCTGGATGTACCTGGATTCCCCCCAGTGAGTTAGTGATGGTGTTCCCACTGAGGCTCAAAACCAGTGGTCATAGGTTCAAACGTCAAAGTGTTATCCACTAGACCACTTGGTCCACGAGAGCCCCCTTTTGTGCGAGCGGTCTCATTAGGATGAAATTACGCGTTTTCCTGGCTTCCACTGTCAATCACCGTCCACCGACTGATTTTAAGTTACGTGAACAGACATCGTCGAAGCATTTACACTATTACTCGACATGTCCACCTGAGACAGAGCACTTCGGTCAAATCAATTGACGGTAAAATCTTAATTATATTAAATATTAAAAAACATTTTTAAGTTTAATAATATAATTTAGCTAAAAATATGAACATACTTATTGAAAGATAAGCATCCAGTGTGCTACCGCGTACTTCGGATTTAAGCATATCCTCAATAGTTTGTTTCCCAATATTTGGATATTCATCAAATAGCAAACGTAAATGAGAATATGATCGTGATACCAAGATATGCGTAAATCTATCAAACAAGAAAAGACAGTAATTCAGATATAGATGTATGTATATAATACTTTGCGTTCTGAATGAAAAGTAGAGCTTGAACATATTAGTTTGTTTATTAGATATATTTTCAAGTATTGATTTTATAGGGATTTCGTTTGATTGCATAGAGGATTTCATTATGAGCTGTCATCACTTACAGAACCACTGAGAAACCAGGTATTTTGGGACTCTTCAACGGTACGCACCCACTGGGGTTCGAACTCAGGATCTTCCAGTTACAAGGCGAGCTAGCTCGTAGACCATTGAGCCACTGAGACTCGATCCAATGGTCTTTGAAGTAAGGTACAACAGGTTGAAGATGAGGTAGTAACTCATCGAATACGACATTGCGAAATGATCGCGCTATGTCGTCGGTAGCACAGTGGTTTGGCTCTCGCCGACCATGCAAATGGTCAGGGGTTCGAGCCCTGGCCGATGAACACCTGATATCTATGGTCGGCCTGCGAAATTTGGGCTACCGATATCATATGCTGAAAATTCCATACCTGTACCAAAAATACGGTATGGAATCTAGCTGCAATCAAAAATAAAAAAATAAAAATAAATAAATAAATTTTCAGAAGTTAGAATTCAAGGACTATTAGATATATCACACAGTGTGGAACCTTATTATTTACTGGATGACGTTTCGAACAAAATTTAGCGTTCACAATCATATCAATTATAATCACATGACTTCGAAATGAACTATATTCTTGATTTCTCACCTTATTTGGGTCGACAAATCTACTACCCCTACGACCACAAATAGGAGAGAACAAAGAAAACTATAAAACTCAAGTTTCGAAGTCGTGTGATTATAATTCATGAAATGATTATGAACAGCAATAAATTTTGTTCGAAACGTCATCCAGTAGATAACACTATTTCTTCACTGTGTGATATATCCAATAGTTAAATTAATATGGAATTACTTACTACCACAGTGCCCAAGATTTACGCAAATATTAATAGGGCTTCAATAATTTAACTTTCTGAAGTTTCAGTAGAGCTTCTGTTGTCTACTCCTACATCTAACCTACCCCTTTATTGAGGGCTTACTACCAGTTAGGTGATATTCAGGAGAGAATCGGCTGGGAATCGTCCTCTAAGACACATTTGTGGATGTCGGGCGTTCTTTTGCTAACCAGCTATACACTTTATGTTGAATGTAGTCTGTTAGAAATTATAGTGTACAATGCATTAATACAAAGTAATGTATGTTTTGTGATGTGTTTCTCTCTGATACTGATTTACATTATGACATGTCAGTTCACATTGTCAAAAGAGACCAAAACGTCCTGGATGTGTACTGATAAAAAGTCCCAAACTAAGAGGAAAGAGCTGTCCAGTACTCTCAGGTTTTCCAGTTTTTCTTTAACTGATTTCAACTCGTGATCAAAGCTGTAGTCGAATATTTTTCTTGTTGATGTTAGATGGTGGGAACCTGTTGGCAGGAAGCTTCGGGGGTATAAGTTTCATGCTTGTTGGTGCTCAACAGCAAGCCGTGTATGCAACTTCAAAGGAACTGACATTTTCTTCGTGACTCGAATTCGTGTCACTCAGCGCTACACCAGAGCTAACGACTGAAGCTTTCTAGGGCTACAATGGGTTAATGGATCGGTTAATAGAGATGAATTAATGTTCCAGTTTTGGTGTTGAATGAATTCCATCAGTCATTTTTGTAAAACGGTTATCGGACACCAACTTTGGCGACGAACCATTATTATAATAAAGGAAATTTGTAGTTCAGGTGCATGATTTGCATTTAGCTGTGTTTTCTGAGCTGGTTGATTTAGTTGAGGAGCTTTCGTCATCCTTCTCGACAACATTTTCAGGACAATATTTGGCATAAAGTGAACTAATTTAAATTTTGCATGAGTGATAGACCAAATCTACCAACTAATAAAAAGTAAATCACATGTGACGAGAAAGTTTAAAATCCAAGTCGATAGAAAATGATCGATACAGATATAAAGATGGTTACCGGGAGACATTCACGGAGAATTTAAATGAGTTCATTTTATGCTAAATCTTGAGCTGAAGATGTTGTCCAGAAGGATGACAAAAGCTCCTCATCTAAAACAACCAGCTGAGAGAACACTACTAATTGCGGACCACTATAATGTTTATGATTCTTTTCAGTTCCGAATGAAACACAGGGCTTAACCAGCAAATTTCCATTTTATCCTGTTTTCTGAAGTCCTCTTTAGCCTCAGGATTACCGCAAGATCCTATCTCCTTCTCCCATGATCTCCTCCACTTCACCCTCGGACACATGCTCAACTCAGGCGATAGCCTAGTGCGTAATATTACTCGATGGTCGCCTCAGTCTTTGTCTAATCTACCTCCATTTTCTACTACTAATACTAATTCGGCAAATATATTGTTCTAAAGAGTTTTCAGGATCAGTAATTATGTTACAACCCATCAGAGTCTTACAGGAAGTCAATCGCGAGCCCGAATAGCTCAGTGGTAACGTCTCAGACTGCAGCACTGGGTGACGCGGGTTTGGATCTCATAAGGGACATGAGTTCTTTCCAGGTTGCAGATACGCCTTGCTGACCGAAGTCTTTGAGCTGTCAAGTGCATAATCTAGCCACCCTTGAATGCTAGGTTAGTAAAGATAGCTTTCTTTGGTACAGAAACTGTCTTTTCTATAAGTGGTCTATCCTTACTGTGACAGGTGGTGATGTTTTCTGGATAACCATTAGCTAACCATTAGTGCACAAATTCTACGCCGCATCCCTTTTCCTCACATGCCGAAGATTTCGACCCCTGCACCTAAGGTTAAAGGACGAAATTCTGTGGACTCTACTGCAATCTGTATCTACAAGTTCATCTGCAGTTGTGGTTACACACACGTATATGGGTAGAATTAAAAGAATGTTCCAATTTGATAGTCGAAAACAACATGTTCCAAAATGGTTACTAAAACACAAAAAATCCCAATGTGATTAATCTGAATAGAAATCCAGCATCATCATCCATTGCAAAACACTTATTAATGTCAAGTTAAAAGATCAATATTAATGACTGTTTAACAATTATTTCATCACATAACTCTAATTCAAGGTTGGTTATTAAAGGTGATGGAAGCACTTTTGCGAAATAATCACATACATCTTAAACTTAGTGTTCAAAAAACAATAGACTTCAACCTTCGCCTACCGTGGACTACTTGACCTCAATAAATATGGTTGGTCATTAATAATTTAATTTTTCCTTCACGTTCCCCAGTGGAGCATAGGGCTTCAAGCTAGTAGCTTGAAGTTTCTGTAGCAGAGTTTATTTTTACAGGATGGGGTGGCTAGCCTGATGCCCAACCTCTGCTCTTTACCAGAATTATTTCTGGCTTAGAGAGGTAAAGGTGTGAGTCGGCCGGGGATCGAACCCCGGACCATATGCATGGTCGGCGAGCGTCCTAACCGCTATACCACCGACGCATCAGTGTGTACTTTTTTATTTAACTGAGTAATTATTAATATCAGTAAAAAGTTTGAGCATTGTGGATCTTTATATGATTATTGTTAACCATGTTAGTTGTAAAGGGGTTGTAAAGAAACTAAGATATGATATCCTATCGCGAAATTTGTATTTTAAATGCCTTATTCAAATAACACCTTTATTCTGGGTAGTATTTATAAAATGTTCAGAATTTTCAGAGGAGTTAATTCCATGATATTTCCTCTCTTCGTACAATATCTCCAAATAAAATATTAATTAATTGACAACAATATATCCTTCCTGTGACACAATACTCTCTCTGAGCTGAACCACAAACCATTCCATTATGTGATACATCTGCTTTGTCTCCTTCCTTCAAGAAATCCACGACACCTAGCAGTGAAATCCAACCTTGTAAGATGTTCAGAAGCCCATTTAGTGAGACCCAAGGACATACATAATTGAAGACCAGTTACCTCGTGTTGTATTTGAACACGTTTCCACATCCACAATCAGGCTATTCCTCAAGTTTAGTAGAAACTTGAGAAACAGAAACTTGTAAATATTTTAAATACACACAAGAGGACGAGGGATAATATATGCAATAGAGACAGAGAGAGAGATGGAAGCCTCTGGTAGCTCAAGTTTTAAGCAGACTGAAATCAATTCATATGGATAAATAAGAACATCAATTCAACTGGGAAAATCTTCCTATACCAATTCACCTGCTCATGCAGCTAGGTACATAGGTCGTTGTATGGGCGTCTTTTCAAAACGCGTTAGAGAACATTATCCAGCGTGGCTGCAAAGAGGAAGTGCCACTATTGAACATCTGATCAACATCTCCCACAACATCTCAACTGATTCTTTCAAAGTAATTTACAAAGCCAACAGAAACCTACCAAAAGCAGTATGTTTCCGACTTCTGCGTACTGGAGAAGCCCTCGCAACCTGCATCCAGAAGCCGGAGCTGTGTGTTCAGAAGAAATTAGTCCCACCACTACAAGTACCATGGACCTAGTTTGGTATGTTCTCCTTGATTTCGTTTTTTCTTCTTTTCATGTTTTTCGTTCGCTGTGTGTGTGTGTGTGCGATTCTTACTCCCTCTGTCTTCACTCGATTCACCCCCATTTTTCAGTTATAAAAACAGTTATTTTAAGTTTGTTTCCATGCTTTTCCTGTTCACATTTATGATTCGTTTAAAATAACTATTTTACCATTATATCTTAATCCTGTGCATTTTTTGTTTTTCTAAGGCTCTTGTAATCTATATTCCCGCCGCCTAACTCCTATTTCAAGTCGAAAATTTTTATTTCAACATTTTGTTTCCATGCTCATTTTAACACACTGGTTATCCGTTCTAACTATTCCTGTGTAATTTTGCTCCTAACCCTCTCGTAAAATCCATATTTAGTTGAAAATAATTATCACCTTTTATTCACTGTCGTAGTTATGTGGAATCAAACAAGAATTGTATCCATGTAAGTAAAATTATGTATTTAAATGCGATTGTACAGCTACTTTTGAAAATGAAATCGCCGAAAAGATGGTCATCTTTGCTGAACTTCGTTTTGTCTTCTTTCTAATGTAAAAATTGTATACACAGAAAGAAAGCAGGAGAATTCCTGAAGACCTGGTGTGGTGAGAGCAGCCTGTTAGCCAATTGGTTGACATTAATCTACGTCAATGTCTAGGTCACTAATATTGGCTGTGAGAAAATATGAACAAGGCTGTTTCAACAACCAATCACAGAAAACTTAAACGTGGGCAAATATGATTCGCAGATAGATGGCTCCACTTTCCGAGGAACTCGAAAACGGCCAATAAGAAGACTGCGTTTGTCTACTTCACTAGGCTATAAAAATGTTTGTGAAATTTATATAAATACGTGTTGATTTCCGTAATAAAACGATCTGTTGCCTGGCCCTTGTCTACTGTTGTTACTCTGGTACTTAAATCGATTCTCAACTAATAGACATATGGATAGAGATCAAGTGTGATATGATAAGAAAATCTTGGGGGAAGAAGTAGTCACATTGAAGATCACTAGGAGAGATAAATGCTTCATCCAGTAATAATCCTCAAAGATGGCTTCACTTCTTAGTAAACCCTTAAGACGTGATTCAGGTGGATATTGAAAGGTTCACAATTATAAACCATTCCACCTCAGAAATAATACCAAAAGCATATCAAAAGCAATCATTTCCCTTAGATTTTGATGAACAGTGATGAACAACCTTCATGACTATCGTATAATTTTTCTAAACCCAGTTGAATCAAACAAGCTTATAGTGGTTGAATGATCGGAAAAGAAACAAACAAATAAAAAAGCAAACTGCTTACTCTGAGTCATTGGATTTACGATTTTGCAACTTCACTTTTTGTAAACAATCCACATCATTACGTACATTGTCTTTATTGAAATTCTCTTCATCATCTCGTTTCGCCTGTAGCATAGCAATGCAGATCTGTTGAAGATGACGACTTGTTGAATTTCTTATATCTTTTTCAAGTTCATGACCAGGATAAGCTGAATTAAAAATTAAAATTACGCACAATGTTATTCAGTTGGATGATAACTAACAGCGGAATGCAGGATGGGCTTTCGTCCTTACTGGGACTCATCATCAGCACATGTCAGTAATCTCAATCATGGCGTTCTAACTGGAACGCGAACCTTGCAACCATCTTCTCAAATTCCAAAGTATTATCCATCATCATGCCGCGTTTAACTCACATATTCGTAGTGTCACACATATCAGAGAGATTATTGGAAATCGCTTGTACCCTTAACTAAGTATTCTTTTTTGGCTGTGTGCCCTTATGAGGATTTCTTATAGACTTTAAGAAACGCTTACCTTTCTACATAGAACTTGAAGGTAGGCTTACCCACCTACATTTCGTGAAATTCAATGATCACTTGGTAAAATGTCTACAGGAAGTGTTTAGTATGCCTATAATTACTTTTATGAGTAGGATTAACAAATCTACAGACAGTTTGATTGACTGAATAATATGAACGGAAATCTGATATATTAAAACTGCTGTCAAACTACAAGTCATGTTTTCTCTACGACCGATAGTAATTCCTCAACTGAAAGATGAAGTACGGAGACTAGCCACTTCCACTCATACCTACCGATTCAACCGCGCTTGTGGTTGAGCGAGTTATATTGGCCGTTGCTCTAGCAACTTGATTTTTCGTGCTCGAGAACATCTCCCAGTATGGCTAAGTAAAGGTGTAGTGAAAACCATCATCAACAATTCAATATTAGACCACCTCGTTCAAACCGGCCACAAAGTCAACATTGAAAAATCCTTCTACGTCATCATCTATCGGGTACCGAATGAATTGCCAAAAGCATCCAGGTATCGAATACTCCAAACAGCTGAGGCTATCTCGATTCGCCTAAAAACAACCAGTGCTCTATATGTGCAGAAGAAGAAAGTTCAGTTAGTCACTTCTACTGCCTGGCAGGCCTTCAGTGGAGACTATAAATTCATGAATTTGTATTATTATCTTTCTTATTTTCTCTGTCTGATATTCAGTGTATATTGTATATTGATGCTACCGAAATGTAATTCATTGATATTACTATTATTGATTCGATCCATTCACTATTATTAATGGATATACAACTATAGAACCTGAAGAACAGCAGGCTATCGAGAAGGATATTCATTCTTCAGTAACCATTCTTTTGAAAAAAATCGATGTATTTTATTGAATTTTGAATTTTCCCGTCGATTGATTGGACCGAAGTGCACAGTCTCAGGTTGGCATGTCGGCTTCTTGTGAAGATGCTTCGACGATGTGTCTGGGTATGAATTTTTTAGAATTATGAATTTTTTGAATTTAATTGGTGGATGGTGACTAGCAGTGGAAACCAGGATGCGCATTTCGTCCTATTTGGGACTCGTCCTCTAGATGTGCCTGCATTCCCCAGTGAGCAATGATGTTCCCACCAAGGCTCGAACCCAATGCCAATAGTTTTAAACAACATTTCAACCTGAGACTGAGCACTTCAGTCAATCAGTCGACGGAAAATTCTAAAGTTCTATTAAATAATTATATGACCCATAGAACAAGAGGTGACTGTTGTAGCCAAAGTGGTCTTGGCTTTTGAAACTGTGGACAGTGGGTTCGAGACTCGGTGGGAACATCATTACTCCCTGGGGAATGGAAGCACATCCAGCTGACGAGTCCCAAATAGTACGAAAAGCGCATTATCCTGGATTCCACTGTTAGTCACCATCCACCAATTAAATTCCGAAATTCGATACAATGGAATGCATTATTACTTAGGATATTATCTTTTGAATATATCACATACAGTGAAACTGTATTATCAACAGTGGAAGACGGTTCATACCAATTTATTGCCCATACTCATGGTAACAATAGTAACTACGCAAAGTTGGAAGTCAGGTTTTATATTTCTCGATATTCCTCCCAATTTGTTTTAATGATCCTAGAATTCTGCACATGTACGGTACAGGTATTAGGTCATTTCTACTGTACATATTCTCAGCTTATTCGGTACATAAATCTTCGGTTATCAATCTCTCCCAGTACTAAGTTCCATTCGATTTCAGCACTGTCATCTTATCCCAATTCATTGTATAGTTGCGTGTGACTGCATGTGGTACTATAGTTCGGCTATTTTACAGATTTCTTATCTTAAATCTATTCACTAGTCAGGGTTTCGCTACGTTTTTGTACTCTATCGATTTATGTGACGAAGACTCTGTTAGACGTGAAACTTACAAGTTACTATGTAATTAGCACAGTGAATCGACCCTTTCATCGTTCATCTTTCTGTATTTTATGGTGTCACACTTTCTATCGTTTAATTGTTACTCTGCTATTTTATTTTAGTTGGTATTACTATTATTACCACAATTTTGTACTTTATGCATATTTTCTCCGTATGGCATACAGTATTTTGCTACGTAGCTGCTATAGCAATCGTTTTTATTACTATTATGTAGTGTATTTTTAATTTTCTTTTGTCGTTTTCGAGTAAACAGATGCAATATTATACTGAATGCTGAAAATTCCTTGCTGTATCATTAGTACTGTTTTTGGAATAAAGCAAAAATTATTATTATTAACTGACCCTGGTCTACTACTTTAACCCATACGTTTGACTTCAAAATCATTGCATGGTATTACTAAAGCTAAATTGTTTTACTTTTTCGGTTCTACAGGTTTTTCTGATCCTTCATGGAAAATTCCATTGAGATATATAGAAAATCAAAACAGGGGATTCGGTGAAGAGAATCTTTTGAACGGATTTATTATCAAGCTCGACTTTTGAAATTATTTTTCCCAAAAGCCTATTTCTCTACCATCTGTGTTTAATACCGTAAACTTATCACCTACATATCTCCACCATACTTTGGGCCAGGAGGTGGGCACTTCCGTCACTAGGTTTCCCCACCTATAAGTGAATATATATCCGCTGCTCTCAGGGATATTGATAATCTCCTGAGGATGTGTTCGTTTTTTTTTGTGAAAGACCCAAACTTAAGATACTAAATCCTGAGCTGAAGATGTTTTTTTTAGAGGGGTGACGAAAAAAGCTTCGCAATTAAATTAACCAGCTCCTCAGAGAACATAATTAATTTATTGATGGAAAATTGGTTGGTTTCCACGTAATCATGCGTTTTAAAAACACAGAAGTTCAGGACAAGCTACAAAATTGTACTTGAAACACCATTAGCACATAAATACACAAATATTTTGAAATACAAGACTCACAAAGACTAGTTAATAGTGATCCTTTATTATTCCAACTTCTGTCAGTAATATGTCTTGAATAGGTCAACTGTACTGGATAACAGTTAACCCCTACTTGTACCTAGGTCAACGATAATATATTATCGTAGATTAAAAGCATAGTTATCATGTGTCGTTTTCAAAGCATATGAAATAGAATTATCACCTACCTTGAGCATATTCATCACTAATTTTCTTCAATTGTCGTTTATTTCTTGAACAAAGAATCTCTGTGATTACTTCGACATCTTTACGACGACCTTTCATAGCTCTGTATAGCGCATAAGCGTCTAATTCAGCTGGTGTACGACACAACGCCAGCAGACATTCTCGTTCACATCCTTTAAATTCTGATTTAATTCTACTCATGAGATCTGTGCCGTACATTGATTTAAATTGTTGTACAATAGCTACACGTTGTTCACTAGATCTATTCGACAGTAATTCGATAAGCTGGGCTTTGCCTTTACTCGTTCCAGACATTGAATGTTTCAAATTTTCACAATCTCGAAGAACATTGAAATTTAGGACATGATGAACAGTTGGTTTGATCTATAGTATCAGAAAAACACATTTGTATTAGTAAGCCAGTGTCCTTTACTGAAATAAAATCAATATTTCCAGTGAGATATAAGACTTAAGATAAGACGAAAGTAAAAGACGGATTCAGCGAAGAAAATTTTCTTTATCGACGAAATCATCTTCAGAGGCTGTACAATCGTATTTATACTTAGAAAAATGCATAGTGGTCTATTACTGAGTAATAGGGGGTGACATAATTGATATAATTAATCATAAGTGGCTTTAGAGGTGAAAATTAAAAGTTGTAAATTACATGGTACTCGACGGAACAAAGATAGAAGTTAGAAAAGGTTAAAATTGCTCTTGAGTGAGAATAAAGTTATTAGAGTGTCAATTTAACAAGTGTGAAGAAGGTGTGAAAATATATGAAATTGATAATAGTGAATTAATTATTAAAGCAAAAGCAAACTAAAAGTAAAATTAAAGATTAAGAACAAAATCAAAAATATTTTTTTAACAGGGAAGGATAAGTGAAGAGGTTAAGACCAAGGTAGAATAAAAGACTGGACAAACTTTTTCTGTATACAGAGATCAGGGTTGTATTGATGTATTGCCAGCGCCTCCGTCATACACAAAAGCCGGAACCTGACGCCTTTTGTACAAAGTGAAGCCAAATTGTACAAAAGGCGTCAGGTTCCGGCTTTTGTGTATGGCGGAGGCGCTGGCAATACATCAATACAACCCTGATCTCTGTATACAGAAAAAGTTGTCCAGTCTCTTATTCTACCTTGGTCTTAACCTCTTCACTTATCCTTCCCTGTTAAAAAATATTTTGATTTTGTTCTTAATCTTTAATTTTACTTTTAGTTTGCTTTTGCTTTAATAATTAATTCACTATTATCAATTTCATATATTTTCACACCTTCTTCACACTTGTTAAATTGACACTCTAATAACTTTTCTAACTTCTATCTTTGTTCCGTCAAGTACCATGTAATTTACAACTTTTAATTTTCACCTCTAAAGCCACTTATGATTAATTACAGCAATTATGTCACCTCCTATTATTCAATAATAGACCACCATACATTCTTCTAAGTATAAATACGACTGTACAGCCTCTGAAGATGATTTCGTCGATAAAGAAAATTTTCTTCGCTGAATCCGTCTTTTATTTTCTTCATGACTCAATGGGTATTTTGCGTGATAAGACGAAAGCTTTGAATTCTCAGTAGCAGTGTTGGTTTATAACAGACAACAAGATGGGATCGCAGTGAAATCTCCACTGAGCCGATTGCTAGTAGAGTACTTCATGGAAAACCTCGAAAACGGCTCACTCAAGTCAATTATTGATAGTTTCCAATTGTATGCTGGATATGTGGATGATATCTTTATTAGCTATGATGATGGTCACGATATCAATCAGTCACTACAAATATTCAACAAATGCCATTCATTCATCTACAAGGTTTACTCTTGAAATTGAAAACGAATCTAAAATTCCTTTTCTTGATGTTGAACTCACGAAGACAGCTGATGGAACTTTCAGAAGATCCATCTATAGGAAACCCTCATGGAATGGCTAACTGACAAGCTTCTACAGCTGGGTACCAATCAGTAGAAAAAGAAACCTAATTGGATCTCTTGCCACTCGCATCCGACGCATCTGCAGCTCTGATACCATGGAAGAAGAATTACACTTCCTGAAAGAAATCTTCATGCAAAAGGGTTATCCACCAAGATTCATAGACAAAAACATCAAACAAAAAATCGAAAAGCAAGAGACTCCATCTGTGCCAAAAAGACACTTTATATGAACCTCGACTTCAAAGATGACCTAAGCAGTGATGTCCTTAAGGAAGGAATTTCCAATTCTTTAAGAACCTTCTTTGCGGCAACATTGAGAGTAGCATTCTGCGGAAGCCCAAAAGACAAGATCCCGCAAGTGACCACTTCTATATATATATATATATATATATATATATCAGTTCACCTGTTGCTGTGGAGCCAGGTACATCGGTTGTTAAACGCGCATCCTGTCAAAAAGGCCAAAGAGCACTATCCAGCGTGGCTGCAAAAAGGAAGTAGTGGCCGTATAAGGAGTGCAATAATCGAGCATCTCGTCAACACTGGTCATTCAATCTAGACAAACGCCTCCTTCAAAGTAATCCACAAAGTGAAGAACAACCTTCCAAAGACAGTACGATTCCGTCTTCTATGCATTGCAGAATCCCTAGCCATTCAGTTGGAAGAACCAGAACTATGCATACACGAGAAAATTATTCAACCATTTCTACTCTCAGGGTAACAACTCTGCTGATTTGATTTAACTTTTGCTTGTGTGCTTATTTCTCTAACTACTTATAACTATTGCGTAATTCCATGTGTTATTTTGTCCCCATGTACACCTTGAGCACAACTATTTAATCAAACTATTCATGTTATTACATAACTCTTCTTTAAAACTCGTTTGTGACAACTTATTACTTTTGTTATTGCCCTCTTGTTTCAACATCCAATTCATCTGAACTTAATAATTGTATTTTTGTTTGCCAAATTTAATGTGAACACACACATACAAAACAACCATATTTATTTGCAGTTGTACAGCTATGAAAATGAATTCGCCGTCGAGAAGAGACTCTTCGCTGAACTACTGGTCTTCTGTCTATTAGTGTTGGTTTTGTTTTCATGGTATGGGATTACCTGTCTTAGGCGAAATCTTCATCTTTTCTAGTCTACACTGTCAGGTAGGCATGATTTAGGAAGGCGTTAGGTGGAAATGCAATTCGAGACACATGTGTGACTGTTGAACATACCAGCATTCAAGCACAGAGGCCCTAATTAACTGATAGATAAGGGAAAATTATTCTGTTGTATATTTGTCCGTTGAAAAGTAAGATTTTAAATGTGCCATTTGTGAAATCATGAGAAATGTGATAAGAAATGAATCATTCTACATTGACTTTATTTCACTCCAGTGAACATTCGAAATGGGTGATTTAATGTTTATTCTATTGTATAGTAAAATTATTTAAATTCATCAGAGGTTCATGTGGAGGTCGGGTTTCAATCCATCGTCGTTGCTTTTGTACACTTCACCTGATTTACTAACTATTAATTTGCTCAGAAAAGGTGGAAGGTTGTAAGCCAGACTAGCAGCCGCAGCAAGTGCAAACAATGTCATTAGGTGATGTTTTGTGCTTCAATCGTAAAGCATTTATTATTATTTATTTATTTATTGTTTCTTTTAATTCCTAGAGGAACATAGGGATTCAGCTATACGTCTCCATTGCGTCCGGGTCTCTGCCAACGTTTACACCTGGCTCCGCGTCTGCCCACATGCCTTCATCTCTTCTTCATATCACCTCCACCTCCATGTCACCCTCACACTGACAATCAACTCGCCACTTCCTATTCGGATACCACTTGAGCGATGGTCTGATGTGTGATGTCACTTACTTGGTGGTTGATTTTTTTCAGTGTATGGCCACCGATCCAGCTCCATTCCTACCTGCGTATTTGTTTCACAATTAGTTTCTGCTAGGTTGGTTCGTTCACTGGCAGAGATCCGTCTCTGTTGCTGATCTTTTCTGGCCGGTCATCCGATCTTAACTAGTATTCAGTGAGGATAGCTGTTGAGGAAGGTGTGTAGTTTGTTCGAAGTGCACTTCGTGATGCGCCGTCAAGTCTCTGATTCGTGTAGTAAGTAGCACTGATTTCACATTAAACTGAAAATCCGGATCTCACTTTCCATACTGAGTGATGTTGATATCCACACAGACTTGACAGTAACGAAAGCTTGCCTTGCTTTGCGAATCCTCACTTTGATATCCTCATCAGTTCCGTTCGCCAGTAATTAAATCGATGCTTCCCAGGTATCTAGGTGGATACGTGAAGTAGGTTGCATCTTTCAGATTTCTCCCATTTATGCTGGCTGATTGTTGCCTGTTGAAATTGGCCAGGAATCTTCATCACCTACCTCTTTTTTCCCTACGTTCACCTGAAGGCCTATTTTTGATGCTTCTTCGACCGCCAACTTGTTGCTTTTCACTTGCATATTTTCCAGTTTGTGGGAAATCAGACATATATGATCGGCGAGGTCCAGATCCTCCGAGTTGGTTTTGTGTAGGTCCATTTTGTGCAAGTCTCCCCTCTACCCATTATCCAGTATAACGCAATCAGGAAAATCACTGGAGATAACAGGCAGCCGGCCAGTCTTGTTTCACTCCGTCTTCATTTCGAAGGATCCCGTGAGTTTCGGTTGTGGATTATAGGGCATGCAGCATTGTCGGACAACTGTTGCATTAGATGTATAATTGTTGGTAGCACCCCTTGATAGTATCGTAGCGCATGGGAATGAAAAATTGGCGTTTATATCATAAAGATTATACAATTAAATGTAATAAGTGGTGTTGGGAAGATTCTAGCTATCCGTGTTTCAAATACATTAAATACGGTAACGTATATGCATTTCTGGTAACATAACTGGATTGTTTTAAATATTTATAAGGCAGTTTATTCTGTGTAAGCGACAATCACAACTCAAGAGATCACCGTTCTTTTCCACTAAAGAAGTGATAGGTACTTGATTTACGGTCTGATTCAATATGCAACAATAACTAATCCATATTTAACATTTACTTATAATAATAATATTAACAGCTTTATTCCAAACGGTATTTGTGGTACAGGTATGGAATTTTCAGCGTGCATTACAATATATTGCATCTATCTAATTACCTCATAAATTTTATAAGACTTTTAAAATCAAAAAATAAATAAATAAAAACCAACGCCAAAAATATAAAAGATAAATAAAAATTAAAAAAAAAAAAAAACAGCGTAGAGTTTACATTTCAAACAATGCACCACAGGATATGAAATACAAAGTTGATGTGTGATAGAAGATGAGAACAACAGTGTAATAGTAACGAGGAAAGGAAAACAAAAACTAATGGGACTATTTGTTAGAGTGCCGCAGTAAGTTGATCGTGTCATACCTAATGGATTTCTCATCACATAACAGC